ATCAGAGGGTTACAGGTTCAAACCCCACTGCAATCAGCATGTCCTTGTGTCCCTAAGACACTTCACCCCAAATTGCTCTTGTGGTGATTGCCCACTGTATTGAGTATGTAAGTCGCTTTGGATAAAAGCGTCTAACAAGTGACATGTTATCAGGAGTGATAGATTTTGGGTTGGCATAAATAAACTGCAGGGCCTGGAGATCAAACCACCAACCTCTGATTGGTGGATGTATCCTCATCTCTACTTTTATCTATGTTGTGCCTGCATTACATGTAGCCATCATACAGGTAATAGACCTTGGACAATGTGGATATTCAGTCCCTTTAACCCCAGCAACACAGTGGGTAGGAGATAAACAGAGAGACTATGTTGAACCTGACAGGCAGCGGTTTCTCCCTCTGTCTCCCTCTCTGTGAGAATTATAGCTGCAGTCCTACAGATTCAATTTCACAGTGAGTGGTTAGCGGTCATGTGACCTAGGCAGACCTGAGCTGAGAGCCTTAGCACCAGGCTGAGGCTCAAACATAAACACTGTCCCACCGTATGCACCTCAACTGCCACAATTTGGCTCATTGTTGTAAGGAGAGAGTCACGGAAGACACAAAACAAACGTTGGGACCTTTTAACTCCTGAATATTGAACCATTGCCATTTGCCACAGTTCCACACTGTACAGTATGTGTGGACTGCTTCTTGGAGATCAGTTCGCTTGTTGAGGTTTTTCCCTCATGGAAAAAACTGCCTTTTAAGTGGTTTTAATTTTTACCTCCACTGATAAGGCAACACAAACTAAAGGGAAGCACTAGGTTTATAGCTGCAAGGTCATGACCTTTGATTTACAATAATTGCGATGGCCTGTTGGAGAAAGTCCTAAAGAGCATTGATGATTAAACAACATAAAGCAACATGTATTCAAATAAGGGGGATAAACTGGTGAAGAAACTGGCCAGTTACACTACAGACCAGCTGTATAACACCCTGCTATAAGAACACATGTTATTACGCACAAGGAGGCGCATCTAAACTTCTTACCATACATCCAGCTTTATCCTCCACACAATGTGACTGATCTACCAACCACCACAGACTATTATATTATTGTATCTATGGTAAGAACAACAGCATCCACCATGATGAGGACTGCTCCACCTTACCTGAATCTGTAAAGCCTTGGATGGCTTGTGAGTATTTCTCCAGTGCGTCGGCAAACTGTCCATTTTTAAACAGCAGGTTTCCTTCATTCTTTAGCCGGGACAGATGCGGGGGCAGGGCTCCACATGGAGCATCAAGGTTGACGGTTTCCCCTGCGTTTCCTCCGACCGGGGGTTCTTTCCTGCTGCTGGGATCAGCTGGGGCTGAAGCCGTGGAGCCCCTCTTGCCGGATCCATTGGCCACCTTCTCCTTGGACTCCTGCGTGACTCTGTACTTGTCTGCGCTCGCTCCTTTGCCTCTCCGGTGTCCGTGGTGGGAGTTGTTGGGCTCACTGTGAGGACCCCCGTCCCCTCTGCTGTGGGGCTTCTTTTGAGTGTTACCCATGTCTCCCCTCTCGACAGGAGCAGCTGAGCTCTCCTCCCCTCCCACAGGCTGGCTGGGTTCAACCGGACGGGCTAGAAGGGCGAGGGAGGGAGGGAGAGGCAGAGGGAAGGGAGAGGCAGAGAGAAGGGGGAGACACGCCCACAGGAAGGAGTCAGTGGTTACATCACAGTGGGGGAGGGTTGGACACAGATGACACACAACCACTTCAAAGAGGGAGTTCCAGGAAGCAGCCATGCTCAGTGAATTATGAAAGTGCTTGGTGGGGGAGGGCAGATAACACGCACGCATAGTATGTCACGTTACCCAGAGGGCCATGGGTGTTTCCTTTCTCTGCAGCACAGGAGGGGCTGTGATGAAAATGACTGCTATCACCACTTACTGTTTCTGAAGCATTCTCACATGTTTTGTGTAATTCATTGGTTTAGAGAGCAAATCCTTTGCCAGGCAGAGGAAGTAAGGACTTAGTGAAGCAGGCATCTACAGCTATACTACAGAATAGTGTACAAATATATATTTATATATATAATGTAATCAAAAACTCATAATGATCCTTTACATCTAGTTATTAAATAATTATAAATAAGAAACGTTCTGTGGGACATTTAACTTTGGAAAACAAACCTATTATAATTATTATATCTATTATAAACCGTAGGTCATTGAGACACTTCCTGATCTCATACATATAGATGTTTTAATGGATGGAATTGTCAACATCTTTAAATGTGAACTTTAACCTACCTATCAGCCAGATATTCATTAATAATGTTTCATAGACATGTTCTTCTTTATTTCATCCACTTTGTTGTTAAATGTTTTCCTATCCTAGATTAAACCAGGATGGAATTGTTTTTTTAATAAAATAATATACTCTAAGAGCCAGAGGCACTAGCTACTTTTATTGGAAAATAGTTGGCAGCAATGGAGCTTTTCTATAAGATATACTTTATGAATCCTTCTCAGGGAAATGTCTTTATCCCCTCTTTTGTGTCTACACACATTACACACACACACAGAGGATATACATGCACATACACATTTTCACAGTCCAGATTTTCTCTCTTATTCGCAGCTTGACAATCATTTGAAACACTTGCAAAGTTACAATTTTATATGACTTATTGGTGGACATGAGGTATCAGAATCAGACTTTACTGTACAACTAAGCAAATTCAGTTATTTGACCCACCATAGAGCTTTTGAATCTATCACAACTAGGTAGTTTGTTTCTAAATTGAGAGCAGTATTAATAATTAGTGAACAACTGCAGCCCACTGCTTTATACACAACACAAACATGTGTACTGGTTAAAAAGGTGGATTTTCAATAAAAAGACAATCTAATCGAACTATCCATGACGTGCTAGATATAGCTAAGAGACCATTACCTTCATTTAAACTAATCATAAATAGATTTCTGAATGGATTTAGGAAATGATAAGCAGTCACTGGCCAGTGTCTGGGTGTTCATGAAGGATATACGTAGATATTGATTATGGAAGTGTTCTCACCAGTCTCTTTGGCTCTGGTTTTATCGTTGTCATCTTCCTCTTCTACTTCTTGGATGAGGATTTTTTTGCCTCTGCTTTGCTGCTCGGGTTGACGTTCCTTCATCTTCTTCTCAATTTCCAATAGAAGTTTCTATATCCAAAAACAACTCACACATTATAATGTGTCTACCGTATCATCCAAACACCACTGACTAGTGGTAAAAGGAACACCTTCTGATTTATCTGAAGTAGCCTACATTGAAATCCTTGAAAAATGGACATATAAACAATTCCCTTTAAACAAAATGCATACAAATACATATAAAATACAATACATACAACAACTGAAAAAATTACACCATTCTCTTTTTACAGGAATAACAAACTACATGATAGTGCAGTAGCTGCTGTCAGTTTTAAGAGCCTGGTCTCACACAAATACAGCGACACCTAGTGGACCAACCGGCTCGAGGCATGTGTTCACCATGCGTCAGGCTGCTGTCACCCACCGTGGCTGCAGCATTCTGTGGCTCTTTCCTTAGCACCACCCTCAGGTCTTCAACAGCCATTTGGAAGTTGCCCATTTGATTATTAACTGTGCCACGGCGTAGCAAGGCTAATGATAAAAGATAAATCACAAACAGTACAGACATTACATTCATTCTTTCTTTACATCCTGTGCTTTAATGTTGCAAAAATAATGTGTTTTGAGCTATAGTGAAACACTGAAATGATGCCAATAATAAAATCATATTTCAGTTGGCATGTAACTCCATTAAAATGCTACTTTACAAAAACTATAAGCACCTTTCATATTGCCAGGTTCCAGCTCCAGTACCCTCTCACAGTCTCTCATGGCATTGTGCCAGCTCTGGAGATGTATCTGTGCCTGTGCTCTGTTGTTGTATGCAGCCACAGCCGGTTGAATGGAAAGACTCCTGTAATGAAAAGCCAGGAATAAAACAAAACAAACCTTAATTAAGAGATTAATGGACAAACACTTTACGAAACAGTATATGGGAATGGAAGCTCTTAAATGCACAACCAGGGTTGGGAGGGTTACTTTGTAAATGTAATCAATTACTGATTACTGAATACATGGCTCTGAAAGTAATCCGAATACAGTTACAGTTACGTGTCTTAAAAAAGTAATCGTAATCAGATTACTTTAAGATTACTTTTGGATTACTTTATTTTTCCATCACGGATGGGTATGTTTTGGTGTACAGGAGACACAAAAAGCAAAAGGAAACTGAACGTGTTTTTACTGTTTTAATGGCTTATCAAGAGAACAACTGAAACATAACATCTGAAACGATGTAACAACATAATACACTTTTTGGGGATGCAGCTTGGGATGTGAGGAGTGAGGGACACGGCTTAGAACGGGCGTGTCGTCTTCTGTCCTGCCAGTGTTGGCAGGACCTCCTTCACTTCATGAAATCTCTGCAGCACCAGGAGGCAGCGGGAGGGTTAACTCAGCCTCTGAGAACACAAGCGCGCAGTGCCTTTCACGCACCGCCTTTCACGCACCGCCTTTCACGCACCGCCTTTCAAGCACCGCCTTTCAAGCACCGCCTTC